ATTATAACTTTAAGTTTACCATCTAATAACTGGTTTAAATCATCAACTAAGATCTCTCCCTTTGGTAATGTTTTTTTCTCTACTTTGTAATATGTTAAAGTATTAAGTGGTTTTTTTACATTAAATATAGAATTATAACTTTGAAAATCTACTAATCCAATTACATAATCATCATTTAATTCTATGGGAGGAAAGAACACTGACTTTAGCTCTGGCTCTGTACCCGAAAATGTTATAGTAAATGAATCCATTTTTATAAACAAAAATTTTTTATGAATGATAAACATAAAATTCCACAAATAGAACTATTTAAATCTTGTATTTGATCGGTTGTATAGAATATTTTATGTCCCTCAAAATATTTAATTACTTCTTTTGGAGGTTGGATTCCAAATGGGTCAAAATAAATTACAATATCTTTATTTTTACGATATGCTGTCCAATGTGTGCCAGATGAACTGTCTAAATTAACTATTCCGCACTCTTTTACTTTTGGTGTTAGATTTTTTAGCTCGTTTTTTAGGTACACCCCCCGGAAGTGAGGCACGTCTTTTGCGGCCTCTAACAGCTGGTAGTTGTCCATCTTTTTTATTAAATTTTAATCCCATTCCCATTTTTGCTTTTGCCTTCATCAAATTTGTCACCGCATAAGCTGCAGCTCTTTCAGCAAGATTTGCGTCATTTGCCGTTACTCTAGTCCAAGCTAAGTCTGCTAATCTCATGTCTGCTTTGTTCCGAGCAGCGGTATCGGGATTATTCATGTAGAATATGTCATGCTCTTTACAATAAGAGTCTAGCTTATTTTTTGGAGGTACATTTTTGGCTAAATTTTGACGTATATTCGTTCCAGGTCCACAGTACCGATATGATGGTATGTGAAGTGGAAATGGAAGATTATTTATAAGAGTATTCAATAACCCTCGACCCTGTAAGGCTTTAAGAATAAACCTTTGCCCTTTTTACATGTTTTCTTATTATTTTTCACCATTTTTATTATATAAAAAATGTCTTTTATTCAACAAAAACATAAATTTAAAATAGTACATACTAAGGAAAATATACCAAAGAAGTTGGGTCTATTTCCTACCAATATTCGATGTGTTATTTGTGGTCCAAGTGGAAGTGGGAAGACGGTTGTAATTTACAATTTAATTGTGAAAAAGGAAGGATTAAAATTTACAAACTTATATTTAATATCTAAATCTTTAGAACAAGAAAAATATAAAAAAATAATTGAAATATTTAGTTTGTGTGATGAAGTGAAATTACACACGTTTACTGACTGTGAAATCACACCAAATGATGTAAAATCACAGTCAGTTGTTGTATTTGATGACATAAATAGTCAAAATATTACACAATTTTTTTCAATGGGTCGACATAAAAATATTAACTGTTTTTACTTGTGTCAATCTTACAGCAAAGTACATAAACATTTACGTGATAATGTAAATTTCCTAATATTATTTAAACAAGATGATTTAATTTAAAACATGTATATAACAATCATGTTGGTAATGACTTTTCATTTAACCAATTAGAAATCTCTGTCATCAATGTTGGGATAAAACTAAATATGGCTTTTTTTGTAATAGACAAAGAAAGGTCAAAGAATAATGGCAAATATAGATTTATGTTTGATCAATTTTATAATGACCAAGCGCAAGAGTATTGATGCCATCTTCCAGAATAAACCTCTTGTCATCGTCAAACGATAGTACTTTCTTATTCATAGTTAAGGTTTGAAGATGATGATTTGTAGATTTAATTCTTGTCACATTCTCATAATAATCTTGCCCAGTTGCAAGACAGTTTAAATAATGTTGATGTCTGAGGAGATGTTTAACTGTAGCACCATCAGCTCCTTTAGCTTTTTTGACCTCTAAAGCTGCTTGTCTTCTTCATATAACCATTTTAGAGGAATATAAGAATATAACTTTGGTCTTAAACCACAATATTCATACATAATATGACCATCTAATTCGTCTTTAAACTTGCCAGTGACTTTTTTATTTTTATCAGAGTATAAGAAATGGTCTTTACTATATCCAGAGGTATCAAAAAGTGCAAGTCACATTCTATTTCCTTGTAAAAGTCCTCTGTAACTATAGAATACATTAAAGAATCTGTATCTGTCATAAGAAATCTTTTGTTCTTAAATTTGGACATATAATTATAGTGGAAATCATACATTATTACTTTACTGATATCTAAAATGGTCATTCCTAAATATATCGGCTTATTAAACTTTACAACTAATTTATTTAAATGTATAGCATGTAAATTGTTATCGAACTTTTTGCTACAGTCAAACCTTGGATTAGTGACATATTTAGTTAATAGTGACTCATCCTTGAGATATATATCACGAAACTTGCGTTGGTTCATAATTGTTCGACCAAAGAGACTATTATTTAACAATTTGTAAAGTCTTTTTCAAATCATTTTTAGCACATTTGCGTTTTTCAATATTAAATTAATATAGGGCGCAAGCCATTTAGACTGTCTAAATTTAAAATTCTATGGTATTTTGTAACAATCAAACCCAATTCTTCATATTTTTGTAATGCTTTATAATGTAAAATATATTTAGTTTTGTCATTTAAATTAGGTATTAATTTGCCATTCATTTTCTCAGGTGCTAATGGATAGTCATTATGTAAATCATGTAAGCTTTTATCATATTTTAAATCACTTCTAAAATGTATCCAAACTCATCATTTTGATTGTTTTTGTATATTTTGTAGTCTATCTCATTCGTCCAAACGAAATCCATCCACGGGTAGTGTCTCACACATAGCTGTGGAGTATAGCGAGTTACAATCTAAATATACTAAATACACACTCTCTTGTTTGGGGTCATAATGTTCACCCATATATCTATTATTGGCTTTAGCGTAACGTGTGGAAATCATACTGACTCCTCCTCTGATTGCACTTTCTATGAACAAATGCATGTCAATATCTTGAAATAATTGTAATTTTATACCAGTCATTCTAAGACAGGCTTCCCATGTTAGTCCTGGAAGTGAATACATGTGTACGGGTCAAGTTTGTAATCCTTTAAACACAGGTCTCTAAATGTCTCAAACACATCAGCCAGTAGCAATACATCTGTTTTAAGATATAAATCATGATATTCTTGTAAATTATGTATATTAAAATGGGTCCAGATATGTTTTGCATGTTCATATTCGATGGGAGAGATATGTTCTTTAGTTAAAGTACTGTAAAATTTTTCAATTGGAGGTAGAGACTCTGCAAACTTATCTGGTCCTGTCATATATTCATAGGGAAATACACCTTTGCGTTGTAGTAGTGGATTGTCTATAAATCTAAATGTATTTAAATTGGAAGCTAATTTGTATAATGGAAGGGACAGAAAGTTATAGGAATCTAAAAATACTAAATCATCAACAGAGAATGAAATGTACTTTTCCATATCTTTGGCTATGCAATTTAATTTACGATTATATTTTCCCAAGTGTTGCATTATTAAATGTCCATCGTAATTTTTCAAGTTATGGAAGAATACTGGTATTTTCTTTGTTACTTATAGTTTAAATTACAATCATTGTGGGCAGCTCCACGGTATTGGCCATTTGAATGACAATGTTCTCGTACCCTATCAAAATATAGAGCTTTTCACAAATATGACAATGTGTTGAGTTTTGGAAAGATGCCTCTTGCTCAGGAGTCATTACAAGGGGAATATATATCGCCATTTGACTTTTAATAAAATCATAAGTCTCAAATAATCTTTCAAAAACACATCCATAACATTTGCACCACT